TAGTGTTCTGTATTTCATCTTGAAGGACTCCCTTCAGCATTTCTTGTAAGGCAAGTCTTCTAGCGACAGATTTCTGTTTTTTTTTTTTTTTTTTTTTTTAAATCTGGGGATGTCTTCATTTCTCTATCATTATAATTTCAATGTCATTTGGTTTTGTTGGACATCGAGGAAAGGTGTGTATGGCCACATGGTTTTGAACTAGAGTAACAGGTGCTGACAGTCTTTCTCCTGGCACTTGGAATATGTCATCTCGCTGCCTCTCCCTCCACGATGTCTGATGAGAAATCAGCTGTTAGTATCACTGAGGCTCACTCGCACGTGGTATGTCGCTTCTCCCTTTCTGTGTGCAAGATTCTTTGGTTCTAGATCATTTTATTATGATGTGTCTAGGTGTGGATCCCTTTGGGTTCATGCTAGTGGAAGTTAATTGAGTTTCTTGTATATGTAGATTAATGTTTTCAAATCAAATCTGCGAAGTCTTTGGCCATTATTTAAAAAATATTCTTTCTGCCCTTTCTCCGTGTCCTTTTCCTCTGAGACTCCCGCTGACGGGTGTGTTGGGACACCTGATGGTGCTGTGCAGTCTCTTCAAAGCCCTGTTCATTTTCCTTCGCTTTTTTTTTTTTTCTGTTCCTCAAACTTGATAATCTCAATTGATTTCATGTTCACTGGTTCTTCCTTCTGCTTGCTTAAATCTGCTGTTGAGCCCCTTTAATGAATTTTTAATTTCACTTATACTTCTAAACTGTAGAACTTCTGTTTATATGTATAAAATTCTCTCTTTATGGATGATTATCTATTTGGTGAGACATCATTCTCCTTTCCTTTAATTCTTAATCATGATCTTTTTTTGTTTTTTGAGATGGAGTTTCGCTCTTGTTGCCCAGGCTGGAGTGCAGTGGTGTTATCTCAGCTCACTGCAACCTCTGCCTCCCAGGTTCAAGCGATTCTCCTGCCCCAGCCACCCAAGTAGTTGGGATTACAGGTGTGCACCACCACGTCCGGCTACTTTTGTATTTTTAGTAGAGACGGGGTTTCACCGTGTTGATTGCTGGTCTCAAACGCCTGACCTCAAGTGATCCACTCGCCTCAGCCTCCCAAAGTGCTGGGATTACAGGTGTGAGCCACCGTGCCTGGCCATGACCTTCTTTAGTTCTTTGACCATATTTAAAATGGCTGAGGTGAAGTCTCTGTCTGGTAAGTTCATTTCTGGACTTTGTGTTCTGTTTGCCCCTCCAGGTCAGATCCACTGCCCACCTTTCCCGGCATCTGCACAGGAGGCCAGCCTGTATGGCTTACATCAGGGGGTGCCTGGGCTCTCCCACTTCCCTTTGGGCTCAGCCTCTAGGGGTATTTGGGACAGGCAACAGGAGACTGGAGAGCGAGGGCAGGGTATGTGGCCATGTCCCCTGGCCAGTGTCTGCTCCTCTGAAGGAGCCGGCAGCATGTGGCACCTCCTCCTTCCGGGTTCTGGCAGCCGCTGCTGCCCTTTATCCCTTGGCTCTGGCCCCTGCACTGTCCCTCACGGCTCCCAGGCAACTTTGTGACGAATCCTTTTGTAATAACCCCTTTGTGAGGTCTCCTGTTCGCCCCTGTATCTGTTTCCTGTTGGGGCTATGACTGGTACAGAAGGGTGCACGCCCACTTTTGAGTGTTGACGCCTCCAAGAAGGAAGAGAGGAAGATGAGGCAAGGGTGTGACAGGTGTCCATCGGCACAGGGCATCGCAGGTGCTCTAAAGACATTTCCCCATACAAAGATGCGTGCCGGCAAAGACGGATGATTGGCTTAGAGGTCCAAGCTTTTACTGTAGGCCTTTGAAGAATTATCTTGAGAAGGGACAGTGTTTTGTGGCGGTAAAGATGAATATGCTGTTAAAGGAAGAAAAAATGACTCCTCTGGCAGATGGTAATGGCAGGAATCATCAACATCTTTAACCCACAGAGAGCTGCTGTCATTCTGTCACACAGGTACTCGGGGAGAAGCGGAGAGCTAGCCACAGCCAGGGCTCTGCCCATGAAGGAAAAATGGCTTCAGCAAAAAGGGTGGGGGATGTGGGGTGCAGTTCTCTCCTCCCCCAGTCTACAGAGATGACTTGCAGCTAGATGTACCGGAGGTGCAGGCATCAATCTTGGTGTTTCACGTGATGGTCCCAGATGGAGTGAGGTGTATTCCTGTTGGCTCTGCTGTCCTTGCTGGCTCCACAGAAAGGTCATGGAGACCCCAGCGAGGAAGGCTTCCAGAAAGGAAAGGGGGACATTTTGAGGGAGTTCATGCATGGTGGCAAACCCCGTAAAGAAGCCATTGCAGTGAGAGATGAAAGAAGGGCTGAGGCCACACACGTGTGCCGCAAGGGTGCAGAGGAGAAGGCGCTGGGCAGCAGGTGCAGCCAGAAGCAGCTGGCCCTGGCCCCTTTTCATCCCAGGGTTAGAAGCAAATAAAAACTCCCTCTTAAACGTCGTTCTCTTGCTCCGTGGAACTGTGTTTTACCAAAAGTGGAAAAGGGTTTTTCCATTATTGCTGATCCAATGACTTCAAGCCTGACCAAACAGGAGGCAAGGCATTTTAATTGTCCACAGTAAGACTCACAGTTGAGGCACAATGAGCCTGAAGCTCCTCATCAGACCTGCCTCCGGTGGCTGGTGTGGGCCATCTGTGAGTCCCAGAGTCCGAGGACTTGAGGTCCCACTGGCCCAGCCCCGGTCTAGATTGGGGTCAGTACGAGGCTTCTCTTTGGGTGTCACTGGGGGCTGCTTGCTTTGAGAGAGACAGAGACAAACTGGGACATGTCAAGAAGAGAGAGTAGGATTATGTGAGGGCTTGAGATCATGCCAGGGCAGAAGGTTTAAACGAGCGATTTCTAAAGGTTCTTTTGTGTCTAAGAGAGAGTAGAATGATGCGGGGGCTTGAGATCGCACCAGGGCAAAAGGGTTAAAGAGCAATTTCTAAAGCTTCCTTTGTGTCTAAGATTCTTAAGATTCTGGGTCTTGGCCAGATGCATTGGCTCACACCTGTAATCCCAAGACTTTGGGAGGCTGAGGCGAGTGGATCGCCTGAGGCCAGGATTTCTAGACCAGCTTGACAACATGATGAAACCCTGTCTCTACCAAAAAAAAAAAAAAAAAAAAAAAAAAGCCAGGTGTGGCGGCAAGCACCTATAGTTCCAGCTACTCAGGAGGCTGAGATGGGAGGATCTCTTGAGCCCAGGAGGCTGAGGCTGCAGTGAGCCATCATTGTGACACTGCACTCCAGCCTGGGTGACAGAGCCAGGCCCTGTCTCAAAAAAAAAAAAAAAAAAATTCTGGGTCTCAGTCCTCAAATTGATGTGGCTCTATCTTTGTCCCCAAGTTTTAACATGTCTTCCAGATATACCCCTCCTTGAACAGAGCAGGGAAGGATGCGTCAGGAGTAAGTCACCTCAGTGAATAGCTTTTTTGAAATGAATTAAACTGCATTTCCCTGCAATCCTCCCGTCTCTGCCCTAAGAGAAGCCCACTGTCTCTTGGGCCTGCGTACCCCACTGCACCTCAGAGTGAGCCTCCCAGGCTTCCGCTGACTCTGCCCCTTCAGTGCACGGCCCAGAGCCGCGATTTGCCAGCTGGGCTCCCGTGCTCAGAGTCTCCCTACAGAACAGGTTCTTGTCCAAAGAAGTTCAGGAAATGCTACGTACTTTCCGCTGCCTTTTAGAGATTTGATGTCCATTACACTATGAAAGACCTTGAGAATTGCATGAATGTCCTTTTGCAAAGGGATACCTGCTACACATGTGATTCTGGGAATATTCTGGGAAGTAAAAGCCTGTTGAATAAATGTATGCACCATGGCATCAAGGGCCCTTCAAATCTCAGTGCTGCTTGACCTCCCAGACAGCTGCTCCCATCCCTGTCCTGTGCACCACAAGCCCCCGCTCTAGCCGCCACAGCTTCTCCGATCCTGGAACGGTCTGACCTTGTGCTGTTCTTATCGCTTGGGATATACCTTCCCACCTCCAAAGATTCTCTTGCTCCTTCGTGGCCCACCCAGGATTCCTCTCTTGTGTGAAGCCTTCAGGCCCCTCACCAGGTAGGGTCACGTGCTCTCTTCCCTGGCTCCTGTAGCGTTTTGTTCTGATCACTCGAAGGAGCCATCAGTGTCTCACGTCAGTGCTCTGTTGTCTAATAGTCCCTCCAGGCAAGTCCGGAGTCTCTCCTGTGTGGTCCCCTTGGGTCAGGGCAGCCCCTGCCTTCCAGGAAGCAGGGATGTCATCAAGGACTGGGCTGCTTTGTTCCCTCACCGCCCAGCCTACCCCAGCCTTCCTGGGCTGCAGCCAGCTCAGGAGCCTGTTGCCCTGATGGTGGAGTCCTTGCAGGACAGGGAGGCTGTGCCTGTCTCTGCCTGTGGGCCAGAGTGCCACGCTGCTATGTGCCAGGATATGTGGCCAAGTGTGACAGAGATTCCTCCATGCCGACGAGCCTCTCATTGCACAGTGGTACAGTGTCTGGCCAACTGTCTATCCCCAGCCATCTGCTTCTCCCACTTACTTCTGCGGGTGACGGTGAGGAGATAAGAGGCCTGCCCCAGGAGATGGGTGGGGGGACGGAGGGTCCCTGGTGGGGATTGTCAGGAGCCTCTGTTACTGCAAGATGTCCCTGGTGAGAGGAGCCACTTTTGTGTTGCTTTTGTGCTGAATCCTGATTCAATATTTAGACATTTTTTAAAAATTTATTTTATGAATATATGAATAGTATTTTCATTCTCTTGTTATTCCTCATAGTACTATAGGAAAGAAGGGAAGTAACATTTATTGAAAATGTTCTATGTACCAGTCACTACTGGAAATGCTTTAAATATCTTAATGTAACATATATTAATATATCTATAAACAGATACCTCAGGAATTAAGATATCGCTTACAAATAGTCATTTTAAATGTAGTGCTTTGTGTTGGCAAATGTATAGCCAAGGTGTATTAATTTGGCCAAGTTAAATTAATTCCCGCAATGTGCTGTTTTATCTTTGTAGGGACATTTTAACCATACCAAGAATCGTTAGAAGATGCAAGCTGGAAGAAAGAAGATCCCAGTTTTGGTTTTTAACCCTTCATGTTGCAGCAAATGTGAATCTCCTACAGATGGGTTTGGGGATTTCCCTGTTCAAATAGCAGCCCGGTGTCCTCCATGGGTGGGGGGAAGTTTGTCCTTTCCTTCTCGTAAATCCACCATCCTCTGCACGAGAGCCAGGAGAATCCACATCACTTCAAAAGAGCCCCCAAGGCCAGGCACAGTGGCTCACGCCTGTAATCCCAGCATTTTGGGAGGCCGAGACAGGCGGATCACAAGGTCAGGAGATCGAGACCATCCTGGCTAACATGGTGAAACCCCGTCTCTACTAAAAATACCAAAAAAATTTAGCCTGGTGAGGTGGCGGGCACCTGTAGTCTCAGCTACTCGGGAGGCTGAGGCAGGAGAATGGTGTGAACCTGGGAGGCGGAGGTTGCAGTGAGCCGAGATCGCACCACTGCACTCCAGCCTGGGCGACAGAGCGAGATTCCGTCTCAAAAAAAAAAAAAGATCCCCCAAATCATTACTACGTACTATAGCCTCCTTTCAAATGTTCCTGGTTGAGAGGGAGATGAATTGCATTATTTACAAGTCAAAAAATGTTGTATCAAACTTCCTATGAGCTTGGGCACTCATGGCCTGTGGAGGCCCGCCCAGACGCAGCCAGGATGCTTTTTCATTGTTTTGTGGATGTACCCAGGGCTGTTTACACATTCTTTCATTAAAAGGCTTATTTTTATATTTAAAACGTTCTAATGTTGCAGTGAATTTTACTAAGTGCTAGTGTCCAATCTGTTCCCCAACTGAGGTTATCAGAGACAGAATCCCTTTTATATTCAAGTGGAAATTACTCATTTTCTCCTGGGTTTTCAATGTGTTGTCTGACTGTGTGGCTGGCATTATTTTCTCTGGGTTTGAAAGCTTCCTGAGATGTCCTGTTTGTAAGCTCCTGTCCGCATCACGTTATCTGCAGGGAACGTGCTCCCTCCAGGGAGTGCCCTCCACACCGATGTGGGAAGAGCCCCCTCTGTAAGTAGTCATGGCATTCGGTCATAGGGAGAATTCCGTACGGGAAAGATGGAGCAGAGGAAGACAAGGTGTTGAAACCGGTACAGTGCCACCTGGGATGTGGATGATCCAGAATTACAGGACACGTCTTCATTAACCCTGGGTAAGATCCCAGAGCTGTGACTCGATTAAAAAATGCCAGTTCGTGCCAAACGGCCAAAGCTGGGAGAGAGGGAGAAGGTATTGGCATTTGTGGCCTTACGAAAGATTCTTATGAAGAGCTTTAGTTTGTTAAGATGAGATACACATCTTAATTTTTATGCGAAAAAAGAGTAAACTCTTAGATACACAGCATGTTCTTTTTTGTGTGTAAACTCTTCCTTCTCACCCTCGTTCATGGAGAGAGCAGGTGTCCACGCAGTGTCAGGTGGGTGTTTTGTAGCTGACGTGGCGCGCGTCCCTCCACTTATTCATACGAAGCTGGCTTTTGTAGAGAACAGTCCCCAGGCATCCTCCTGCCCCAAGGAAAATGCCCCTGCTTGAGAGTCGGACAGATGTGAGTTCCCATCTCATCTCCACCGACCATCTCCACGTGACCTTGATGAGTCCTTAGACTTCTTGGAGCCTCTGGTTCCCATCTGTGTGGTGGGGAGGTCCCCCTCGGGGTTTGTCCTTAGCCCCCAATGCAACTCCTTGGTGTCAGCGCTCTCCCTCCCGGTGCACAGCCTCTCCAGCCCGAAGCAGGCCCTTCTGTTCTGGAAAAGCAAAGCTCACGAAACATGATGACCAGGTGACAAGGACGAAAGGGATGAGGTGCAACTGGCCAGAATGTGGGTGTATTAGGGTTCTCTAGAGGGACAGAATAGGATAGGTGTATATGTGAAGGGGAGTTTATTAGGAGTGTTGACTTGCACGATCACAAGGTGGGGTCCCACGATAGGCCGTCTGCAAGCTGGGGAGCAAGGAAGGCAGCCTGAGTCCCAAAACCTCCAAAGTAGAGAAGTCGACAGTGCAGCCTTCAGTCTGTTGGTGAAGGCCCAAGAGCCCGTGGCAAACCCCTGGTGTAAGTCCAAGAGTCCAAAAACGGAAGAACTTGGAGTTGGATGTTCAAGGGCGGGAAGCATCCAGCACGGGAGGAAGAGGAAGGCCGGAAGACTCAGCCAGCCTAGTCTTTCCACATTCTCCTGCCTGCTTTAGTCCAGCCATGCTGGCAGCTGATTAGATGGTGCGCACCCAGATTGAGGGTGGGTCTGCCTTCCCAGCCCACTGACTCAAATGTTCATCTCCTGTGGCAACACCCTCACAGACACACCCAGGATCAACACCTGGCATCCTTCAATCCAGTTGACACTTGATATTAACCACCACAGTGGAGAACCAGCAGCTTTATCCAGGTGCTGGAGTTTCTGGACTGTGAAGGGAATGGAGGAGCTTGTCACTGGGTTCCTAAAAGAGGGGATGGCAACATTTTCTTGGTGTTTTCAACCATTTTAGTACAGGCCATGAAATAGAAGGCTCAGAAATTCCAGACTTTCCCTAGGTGTGGTCCACACCTCAGTCCAATCCTAGTCTGACCTTGTGTGGACAGAGGTCCTGCCCGTGGCCTTGTTGTCTCCTGACAGCCGCCCGCCACCCACCCCCTGACTTGCTGTCACAGCTGCCCTGGCATCCATCCTGGCCTTCAGCCCCACCTTCCTGGCTCCAGAGTTGTCCCTGGCCACGGGACAGTCTCTGCTCTCCAGCCCAACCCACCTCCTGCTGGGATTACCTGGAGGAGCTCGCCGCGTGCAGAACTGTTTCTCCCAGGCAAATGAATTTGTCAGCACCACAGGTACTAAAACAGATTAGCTAATAGGCAAAACCTGCATAGATTTCACTAAACTGGGTCTTGATGCGCCCATGACGAGCGTGAAATGGGATTATCCCTTTAAAGTGCTTCATGTTTGTGTTCTTGTCAAAAGAGGAGGAAAAAGACATTTTCTTACACCCTGAGGAAACAGACTGGGCATTGATGTGTATTTCCATTAGAAAAGTTTTCAGTTTGTTCTTTCATTATAATCTGTTATTGCTTTTGGGGGGAGATAGGGGCTAAAATGTCAAAACATACCTTTAATAATTTCACAAAGTAAGTTTCTAAACCAACAACTTGTGAAACTCATTTTAGAACATTCAAAAGCGTGGTAAGTGGTTAACAAAGATGTGTTAACATCATTTGACATGTTTTTCCTCCTTTTAAAATATAATTTCCAAATTTGTTTTTAAAACAATAAAAAAGTATACTTGAAATCCATGCTTAGTAAAGAAAAAAAATGTTTAATTATAAATTTTAGATAAAAATGAAATTAAGTCATCCATAATTCCATTACTCAAAAGTAACTCATGTTCACATTTTGATGTATGTCCTTTCAAAATTTTTTCTATGTGAATATGTGCTCCTAAGCATGTACTTTTAAAATTTATATTTTATTTTATTTTGAGACAAGGTCTCACTCCTCTTACCCAGGGTGGAGTGCAGTGGTGCAATCACGGCTCACTGCAGCCTTGACTTCCCCGGGCCCAGATGAGTAACTCCTCAGCCTCCTGTGCAGCTGAGACCACAGGCATGTGCCACCACGCCCGGCTAATTTTTGTATATTTTGTAGAGGTGGAGCTTCACTATGTTGTCCAGGCTGGTCTTTAACTTCTGGGCTCAAGCCATCTGCTCACCTTGGCCTCTCCCAGTGCTGGGATTACAGGTGTGAGCCACCGCACCCAGCCTAGCATATACTTTTTTTTTTTTTTTGAGACCGAGTCTCACTCTGTCGCCCAGGCTGGAGTGCAGTGGTGCGATCTCGGCTCACTGCAAGCTCCGCCTCCAAGGTTCACACCATTCTCCTGCCTCAGCCTCTCGACTACAGGCGAGGACTACAGGCGCCCGCCACCACGCCTGGCTAATTTTTTTGTATTTTTAGTAGAGACAGGGTTTCACCATGTTAGCCAGGATGGTCTCGATCTCCTGACCTCATGATCCATCCACCTCAGCCTCCCAAAGTGCTGGGATTACAGGCGTGAGCCACTGCGTGTGGCTGCATATACTTTTTTTTTTTTTTTTTGAGACGGAGTCTTGCTTTGTCGCCCAGGCTGGAGTGCAGTGGCCGGATCTCAGCTCACTGCAAGCTCCGCCTCCCGGGTTTACGCCATTCTCCTGCCTCAGCCTCCCGAGTAGCTGGGACTACAGGCGCCCACCACCTCGCCCGGCTAGTTTTTTGTATTTTTAGTAGAGACGGGGTTTCACCATATTAGCCAGGATGGTCTCGATCTCCTGACCTCGTGATCCGCCCGTCTCGGCCTCCCAAAGTGCTGGGATTACAGGCTTGAGCCACCGCGCCCGGCCTATACTTTTTAATGTTAACATCATGTACATCTTTTCATGTCAATTAATATATATATTAGATTACCATTTTAAGTGGTTACACAGTATACCGTTAAATGGAAACGCTACATTTACCCAGTTCCTTCATAATGAGTGCTTAGGTTGTATATATCTACTTGCTGTTATAGAAGTTGCTCTCTAAACATCCTTTTATTTTGTAAAGTTTTGGAATTATATTCAAAAGAACATTCTAGAAGTTGCTCTGTTGGATCAGAGGGCACTTCTGGTTTTCTGACCTCTGGAAAGGTACCAAGAGCCCATGTCCTGTCCCTCTGCACCAACATTGGCAGAAACATTTTTTAACATGGAGCATTTTGCACCCACAAAAGTAGGCAGGACAAACAGACAGGACAAGGAGCTCTGTCAGCTCTCATTCAGCTCCAGTGATGATCGGCCACTGCCAGTCCTGCCTGCCTGTTCCCACCTGGTCCCACCGTTAGATGCAAATACCAGAGTATGACTGCAGCTGCGCTTTTTTTCAATGTCTCTCCTAAAGAGACATTTGAAAAGCAAAACCGCAATAAAATTGTCACTCCTAACACAAAATTTGCAATAATTCCTTATATCATGAAATAGCTAGCTTTTGATGAAATTTCTACATGCTTAATCCATTTCATGATGATTTTGTTTTGTGTTTTATAACTTGTGTGAATTGGGATCCGAATGAGGGCCACATCCTGTGACAAGCTGATGGGTTCCTAAGTCTCTCTCTCTGTTCAAGGATCTTCTCTCTCTCCCTTCCCTCTCCTGAAACTGGATTATAGAGTTTGTGCTGATTTCGCTAATTATATCTCCCTGAGGTTTTACCTGCTTCCCTGACCTGTGTTTCCTATAAATTGGTAGTTGATGTAGAAGCTTAAGCAAATTCCATTTTGATATTTTTGGCAAGTCTTCTCTTTTGATTGATGCCAGTATGATATTTGCTAGTTGCAGTTTTAATTTGAATGCCACACACTGCTTTTCGGAGATGCTTACGGGCCATGTGTGTCTTTTGTAAACTTTCCACCTTTGCCCATTTTTCTATTGGAGCATGTGTCTTCATTATTTATTTTTAAGAGTTCTTTATATATGAAGGCCGTTGAATCTGTTTTTCTCTTATGTTAGAAATATTTTTCCCAGTTTATTATTTTTCACTTTCTTTTCAATGATATTTATATATCCTTTGCCACACAATTTTTCTCTGTCATATCTGTCAGCCTCTTTTTTGCTGGCTTCTAGTCTTACAATCATTCAAGAAAGGCCTTTCTTTCCCCAAGGTCATGTACATTACATGAGTTGATTGTAACTTATACATCTACATTTTTGCACAATTCTGACATTTAGAACTTCAGCTACA